TTACTTGCATTTATTATCGTATGGACGGAAATGAAGTTAGTTGTCTTTTTTCCTTTTTTTATATATAGTGTTAGAAAAATATAATATTAAATTATAAAAATTATTAATATTATTATTTAATATATAAAATAGTAATATAGATGGTACTGCGTGTACTTGATCCAATTCTAGGATGATAAACGACATTATTAGTATTCTTAATGAAATGTTGTTAATCTTGATTCCCCTGAATGTTCGATCTTTCGACTATAAAACGTGTGGGTGAGTGGGTGGGTGGATTGGGGGAGGGAGGGGGATGATGTACTTTAGGTTTACCGTCAGAATTGCGTCTGGTATTCATTTAAAACTGCGTGTCGAGACGACCAGCACAGTTTCCGATACACTCATCCTCTATCTGCCGCTTTTATCTCGGCTAACTCGTTGCTGACCTCGATAAATCTTCGTTAGCGGTGCTTTCGAATGGGAGATAGTGGAATTGTGAAAGAAAGAGAGAGAGAGAGAGAGACAATGAGAGAGAGAGAGAGAGAATGAGAATGAGTTAGTGTAAGGGAAGAGTTCCCATGAAAATGAGGAGTCACGTGCACGCCAGTAGTTTACTTCCCCCTACGTTCCCCCTTTCCCCACATGCCACCTTCCCTCTTCCCTTTTCTACCCCTCTCCGATCCCTTCCACCACTTCTACTTCTTTTCACATTTCTATTATTTTATCCAACTTCTTCGTCTACATTAAATCCTCGGACAAATTCTAATATATTTATTTATTCGTTTTAGTAGATGTTTTTTTCTTCTTTTTTTTTATAGAGGTTTAGACGTTTCATTCGCAAAAAAAAAAACAAAGTAAAGTAAAGTAAAGTAATACGTAAATTTATTTTTTGGGCAGGATTTTTTGTTTGTTTGTTTTTGCATTGTTTCTCTTCTCGAGGTATATTTTTATTCACGTCAATTTATTCTTCTTTTTTTTTTTTCATCGTGTTTCTCTTCGCGTTCGTTTAAACAATTTCTTTTTTTTTTTGTTTTAATTTCGATCTTTTCTTTCTTTCACTTTTGATTAATTTCTCAATCTCGTCGTGTGTGTATATGTGTGTGTTATCCACTTTTCAAGTTTATCTTAAAGATGACAATAAAAGAAAAAAAAGAAAGAAACTTTATAATTTCGCAACTTTACGACCCTTCGACCTACCGTAATCGATAAACCTTTTTTTATTTTTTTTTTTTCTTCCCTAACCCTCCCCGCCACCCCTGGTTCAACCCCAGTATCGATTGTATTGACTATTTATTTGAAAAATCGAAAACATCAAGAAAAATGGGAAAAAAAACCGAACGAATCCAATCGACAGAATAAACGAATTTCCCCTTTCGTTCCAGTTATATGGGGGAAAAGAAAAAAAAAAAAAGAAAAAGAAAGAAAGAGAAAAAAAAGACAAACGAACGAATATACGAGAGAATCTAATGTCGCGTTAAGAAATTCAGAATTAAAAAACTGCAAAAATACAGAAAAAGGGGGGGATGGGGTAGGATGGGGGTGGCTTATGGAAAAGAAAGTACTCAAGTTTTTAATCATGGGTATAGAACACGGGGGCCTTCTTTTAATTGGCTCTTGATTTCATTACTGGTGATACGATGGATGATGAAAAAATAAGGGTGGAGAAATAACGAAAGAAAAAAAAAAAAAGAAAGAGAGAGAGAGAGAAATATCGTTGATAGGAGTCCTTAATTCCCGAGTAAATTCGATAAATTAATTGTGTGCGAGGGGGATCAAAAATGAGAGATAGAAATAGTGAAAAAGAAAGAGAGAGAGAGAAAGAGAGAGACAGACAGGGAGGAAAAAAAAAAGCAACCTATTGACTAGGAGGTTCGATGCAAACTATGGAAACCTAGTTTTGTTGTTGATTGACACGTTATATACCAACCACCCCGTTCGTTCCCTCGTTGATTTTATTTTTATGTCAAATATTTTCGATCTCTAATAATATCAAATGAAATACGTAACTCTCGTACTTTTTTCCCTTTTTTTTCTATTTTTCCTTTTTTTACCTTTTTTATTTTTTTATTTACTTTGTTTGTCAAGTGATGCAATGTCAGTGAATGCAATGCTGTAAATTGTGCACCTTTGCAATTTCTTTGGAAAGTTTCGGTAAAGATTTTTTATACCAAAAGTGAAGAAATTTTAATGAAACTTATATTAAATTAAAGTACACACTTTTTTCTATACGTAGAATACTATATTAAGTTATAAATTTAGCATGTGAACTTCAAAAAATGTCAGAGAATGCAATGCTGCAAATTGTGCATCTTTGCAATTTTTTGGAAAAGTTTCGGTAAATATTTTTTATACTTTTAGAAAATGGATTTTAATGAAACTTATATTAAATTAAAGTGCATTCTTTTATCTACGCGTAGAATACCTTTTTGAGTTATAAATTAATTCGCAAAGGTT